ACATACTTCTGGGAAACCTCAACCAGTCGCAATTGTAGGAACGCAAGGCTCATGTCGAGCATTGTGCAGGACAGTATCCCGCCAGGTTTGCATTTAAGTCCTCTATGTGAGGGATTGGGCATTTATCCAGCTGCAAATTCTGGTTTACTGTTTGATGTCCCCACGAAGGTGAACTGACCCGCTATGTTTCACTATTGGTACGTCCAGTGCTGTCCATTCCGCAAACTGGACTGGTTTGATGATTCCTTCGCTTTCCAGGCTCCTGATTTCTGCCTCTACTTTCAAAGGTAAGACAAATGCAGGTCTTGCAGAATCATGGAATTGTTTCCTGGTCAATATGTAACTTTCCTGAATAACGTGCAGGTATTCACTTAGGACTTCACTCAGGTAGCCATTTTCTTATTGAAAAATGTTGAGCCGAACAATTTGAATTTTTCTCAACCAATTCCATCCCCTCAAGCTTGGGCCCAAACCTGTTGCTACAATCAGTGGTAACTGAACCAGCTGCTTCTCATAACATACCGGCACTGAAGTTGTAACGTTAGTCTGGAGGGGTTAAAAGGAATTTAACTGTTTCAAATGAGCTGTTGGTGAACTTTCCAATGCGTGCACTCTCCCGGATACCGGTCTATTAGTTCTCTTACACAAATCCGGCCGAGTGGGTATCATTTGCTCTCTTGAGTGCACATACCAGCAGCAACTACAATGGCCTGCTGGCCCGCATGGGTACTATCCTTAAACATGAGCCATGCCCCATCCACCATCAACGCTTTATTATGACTCCACAATCCGTCCTTGCCAATTCATGCCTCTTACATCATATTTCCCTTGATTTAGATTCAGGATTCTAGCATCGAGTTCAATTACTTGGCTCTTCATCCTAATGTAGAATTTTGTCAGATTACGGTCCCTCATTCCCAAGGGACCTGCGCAAAACAAGACTGTTAATGCATCATTTCTCTTCACAAAGTATCCCATTTAAAATTGCCTGTGTCTGGTTGGTTCTTCAAGGTATTGGTCGAAAAACAAATCTCACACACACACACACACACACACACACACACACAGTACAAAAAGGCAGATAACCACCACCTTCTCACGGGCAACTGAACGGACAATAAATACCGGCGAGGCAGTGATACCGACATCTCTGAACTAAATAAAAACAACACACATACATATAGCCACATACAGATGGAAATACTCCACGCCTTTGTTTTGTCCAATCTTTATATAAATTAATGTCGCATAGGATTAAGTTGCACTGTTATTTCATAAATCTCTGATGTCTTGCTTAATGCCTTTATGCACTTGTAGAAATGCTGATTGAATGTTAGCCCGTATTGAAGAGGACTTGTGTACAGGAGCAGTGAAGTCTTGTTTGAAACACATTGGACTTTGTTTAGGCCATACCCGCAGTACTGTGTGCAGTTTCCTTATGTCACGAAAGATGTTATTTCCAAGTAGGGATGTCCATGAAGATTCACCAGGCTTGTCCCTGGGATGGTGGCAATATCCTATGAAGAGAGAGTGGGTAAAGTGGGTCTGTAATATTGAGGGATTAAACGGATGAGCGATGATATCATTGAAAGGGAGAGACACAGTAGATACAGGTTTAATGTTTGCTCGTTGGGGGAGACTAGAACTAAGCAAGATTTTAAAAGAAATGGGACTTAGATTGAAGATGAGGGTTTATTTTGTTTTGCTCAGTGGATTGTTATCCTTTAGAATTTTGTAGCTGCAGGGGCTAAGGTCACTCCTTCTCAGTGTATGTTAGAG